TGGTCATAGTGGCAAGAGGGGTGGGGGCAACTCCAAACTCCATAATAATGGTCAATGGTAATGGCGAGGGGTGGGGCAACTCCAAACTCCATAATAATGGTCATGGCGAGGGGTGGGGGCAATAACTCCATAATAATGGTCATGGCGAGGGGTGGGGGACTCCAACTCCATAATAATGGTCATGACGAGGGGTGGGGGGGTCATAACTCCAAACTCCATAATAATGGTCATGGCGAGGGGTGGGGATAACTCCATAATAATGGTCATGGCGAGAGGTGGGGACAACTCCAAACTCCAAATTCCATAACAATGGTCATGGCGAGGGGTGGAGACAACTCCATAATAATGGTCATGGCGAGGGGTGGGGTGGAGTCATGGCAACTCCATAATAATGGTCATGGCGAGGGGTGGAGACAACTCCATAATAATGGTCATGGCGAGGGGTGGGGACAAATCCAAATCCATAATAATGGTCATGGCGAGGGGTGGAGACAACTCCATAATAATGGTCATGGCGAGGGGTGGGGACAAATCCATAATAATGGTCATGGCGAGGGGTGGAGACAACTCCATAATAATGGTCATGGCGAGGGGTGGGGACAACTCCATAATAATGGTCATGGCGAGGGGTGGAGACAACTCCATAATAATGGTCATGGAGACAGGTGGGGACAACTCCAAACTCCATAATAATGGTCATGGTGAGGGGTGGGGACAACTCCCAAACTCCATAATAATGGTCATGGTGAGGGGTGGGGACAACTCCAAACTCCATAATAATGGTCATGGCGAGGGGTGGGGACAACTCCAAACTCCATAATAATGGTCATGGCGAGGGGTGGGGACAAACAAACTGGGGACAAACTCCATAATAATGGTCATCGAGGGGTGGGGACAACTCCAAACTCCATAATAATGGTCATGGCGAGGGGTGGTCATTGTGAAGGGTGGGGACAACTCCAAACTCCATAATAATGGTCATGGTGAAGGGTGGGGACAACTCCAAACTCCATAATAATGGTCAGGGTGGGGACAACTCCAAACTCCATAATAAGGGTGAGGGGTGGGGACAACTCCAAACTCCATAATAATGGTCATGATGAGGGGTGGGGACAACTCCAAACTCCATAATAATGGTCATGGCGAGGGGTGGGGACAACTCCAACCTCCATAATAATGGTCATGATGAGGGGTGGGGACAACTCCATAATAATGGTCATGATGAGGGGTGGGGACAACTCCATAATAATGGTCATGGCGAGGGGTGGAGACAACTCCATAATAATGGTCATGATGAGGGGTGGGGACAACTCCATAATAGTGGTCATGGCGAGGGGTGGAGACAACTCCAAACTCCATGGGATGTATGTGTTTATGTGTATTAGCTTAGTGGGGGGTGTCTCCAGTAGCCCTCCCTCCTGATGGGACTGTCTGTTGGTGTGTCTCTTGTTACTAAATGTAGATTGGCCCGCCCTGTGTCATTATGCAGGGAGGGGGGATTGCCCCGCCCTGTGTCATTATGCAGGGAGGGGGGATTGCCCCGCCCTGTGTCATTATGCAGGGAGGGGGGATTGTCCCGCCCTGTGTCATTATGCAGGGAGGGGGGATTGCCCCGCCCTGTGTCATTATGCAGGGAGGGGGGGATTGCCCCGCCCTGTGTCATTATGCAGGGAGGGGGGATTGCCCCCGGAGTGTATATATCTTGTATCTGTGTTCAAATAAACTAGTCTACTTCCTGGATTACTTAAAGACTGGTGTTGTCTAGTCCTGTATGGTCGGGTGTGGTGTCTGTTGTCAGTGTTTGGAGGGGGAAGCGGTAGTATAACGGAAGTACCCAGCGCAGTCTGGGTCGGTTCTGTTACAATCACTATTATGGAGTTTGGAGTTGTCCCCACTATTCACCCATGACCATTACTATGGGGTTTGGAGTTGTCCCCACTATTCACCATGACCATTATTATGGAGTTTGGAGTTGTCCCTACTATTCACCATGACCATTACTATGGGGTTTGGAGTTGTCCCCACCCCTCGCCATGACCATTAGTTTATGGAGTTGTCCTCACCCCCCTCGCCATGACCATTAGTATGGAGTTGTCCCCACCCCTCGCCATGACCATTATTATGGAGTTTGGAGTTGTCCCCACCCCTCGCCATGACCATTATTATGGAGTTGTCCCCACCCCTCGCCATGACCATTATTATGGAGTTTGGAGTTGTCCCCACCCCTCGCCATGACCATTATTATGGAGTTGTCGTCCCCACCCCTCGCCATGACCATTATTATGGAGTTTGGAGTTGTCCCCACCCCCGCCAGCCATGACCATTATTTTGGAGTTTGGAGTTTGTCCCCACCCCTCGCCATGACCATTATTTTGAAGTTTGTTCCCCACCCCTCGCCATGACCATTACTATGGAGGTTGGAGTTGCCCCCACCCCTCGCTATGACCAATTTATTGGAGTTGTCCTTACCCCTATATTAATGGCCATGGAGGGGGAAATGGGAGGGTATCCCTATATTATGGCCACGGGAGGGGGCGCAACTCTATCATAATGGCCAGTATGGGGCAACTCCATATTAATGGCCATGCTGGGGGGGGGGGATCTATAATAATGGCAATGGAGGGGATGATGGGGGTTGCAAATCTATATTAATGGCCAAGGAGGGAACAATGGAGGGGCATCTCTATATTAATGGCCATTGGGGGAAACTCCATATTAATGGCCATGGAGGGGGAAATGGGAGGGTATCTCTACATTAATGGCCACAGGGAGGTGGGGAATAATAATGACCAGGGCCAGAATGGGGAGCAACTCCATTTTAATGCCATTGAGGGGGCAGACGGAGGGTATCTCTATATTAATAGCCACGGTGAGGGGGCAACTCTATCATAATAGCAGGTGTGGGGCAATACATATTAATTGACATGCTGGGGGGGGATTCTTTATTAATGGCAATGGAGGTGGCAATGGGGTAGGGCTTCTCTATATTAACAGCTAATGGGCATTGGGAGAACTCCATGATAATGGCCAAGGCAGGGGGGGGGGGCAACTCTATCATAATGTTTGGTGTGGGGCAATACATATTAATGGCCATGCTGGGGGGGGGGGATTCTTTATTAAAGGCAATGGAGGGGGCGATGGGGGGCTTCTATATATATTAACGGCTATTAGGCATTGGGGGAACTCCATGATAATGGCCAGGGCAGGGGTGGGGGGTAACTCTATCATAATGGCAGGTGTTAGGCAATACATATTAATGGCCATGCTGGGGGGGGGGGGAGTCTATATTAATGGCAATGGAGGGGGCAATGGGATTGTATCTCTATATTAATAGCCACAGGGAGGGGGCAACTCTCTCATAATAGCCACAGCCTGGGGCAATCCATATTAATGGCCATGGTGGGGGGGGGGGGCAGTGGGGTATTTAGGTTTTGTGCTGCCCTAGGCATCACAAAAAATCTGACGCCCCCCTCCCCAGCAGAGAGAGAGCCTCACACCAACCAACACCAAACAGCCCCCCCAGCGGAGAGAGTCTGGCAGTGACCAAAACACCCCCACCCGAGAGAGCCTTCCAGTAACAACCCCCCCCCCTCACGGCGACAGAGACAAAGACACTCACCTTCACATCCCCGAGAATGACAGTCGGGCCCTACATACACCATTCAGCCTCTCCCGGATCCCACCTGGACCCCATGCCACATATGTCTCTTCTTCCAGGGTGCAGTGCTGCCCCCCTAAAAAAATGCCGCCCTAGGCAAATGCCTTGTTTTCCTTGTGGTAATCTGGGGGGGGGCAACCCATATAATAATGGCCATGGAGGGGGCAATGGGGAAGCATCACTATGTTGATGGCCTCGGCATTAATGGCCGTGGTTTTGGCGTTGGATGGTGGTGGTTGGGGGTCCTCAAACCTTTGGCCATTCAATGTATATATGTACAAAATGAAAAACACGGTACAATACAGCAAACATGTATGTATGAATGGAAATGTCACCAGAAACATGTCTTCAATATTCCAGTTGCTCAGAAATACAAAGCAGCCCAGCCCGGCGTAGCCTCAGTCCCTCCCCAGGTCAGAACCACCATGGAGAGCATTCCTCTTCTCAGCATTTCTGCCTTCTATAGATTGGAGAGAAGTCGGCGGCAGACTGAGATCGTTCTCTGCATTCAGAGGATCCTACAACATGAGCGTCTGTAGATCGTTCTACTCTAGGAATGAACAGAGAGTGAATGAATGGAGAGTGAATGAATGGAGAGTGAATGAATGAAGAGCGATCCCGACACCTAAATATTCAGAGACCCCGTCTGATGCTAATTTGGTAAAACGGTGAAATCGCAGCGACCCGACAACACGGGCGCCATGGTGCAGTGGTCCAGACTGAGATCGTTCTCTGCATTCAGAGGATCCTACAACATGAGCGTCTGTAGATCGCTCTACTCTAGGGAATGAACAGAGTGAATGAATGAATGGAGAGTGAATGAATGGAGAGTGAATGAATGAATGAATGAAGAGCGATCCCGACACCTAAATATTCAGAGACCCCGTCTGATGGTGAAATCGCAGCGACCCGACAACACGGGCGCCATGGTGCAGTGGTCCAGGCTGAGATCGTTCTCTGCATTCAGAGGATCCTACAACATGAGCGTCTATAGATCGCTCTACTCTAGGAATGAACAGAGTGAATGAATGAATGGAGAGTGAATGAATAGAGAGTGAATGAATGAATGAATGAATGAAGAGCGATCCCGACACCTAAATATTCAGAGACCCCGTCTGATGGTGAAATCGCAGCGAGCCGACAACACGGGCGCCATGGCGCAGTGGTCCAGGCTGAGGCGTTAGGAGTTCATCATTCTAGCCGGATTTTATTGCAGGGAAAGGATGGAGTATATACAGCACACCTCTGCAGAGCCCACACACAATGCAACAGACAATGTGCGCCAATTAGCAAAACGACAAAAAAAAAGGCGTCCAAATCCATTGGAGAGGCGCTGGAGGTGTGCGAGTTCTAGATAAACCGCCTAATGGAGAGGCTGAGATCCCAGACTTGGGATAAGAGGGGAATCCGAAGTGCAACAGCCCCACTCGCTGCCAGCGACCGGGAACTGCAACTTCTCTCACCGGAAAATGGATTTTGCTGCAAGATACCGATGCAGAACCCGATTATTGCTGCAAGATACAGACGTGGAACCCGATTATTGCTGCAAGATACAGACGCGGAACCCGATTATCACTGCAAGATACCAATGCAGAACCCCACTATTGCTGCAAGATACCGACGCGGAACCCGATTATTGCTGCAAGATACAGACGCGGAACCCGATTATTGCTGCAAGATACCGACGCAGAACCCGATTATTGCTGCAAGATACCGACGCAGAACACGATTATTGCTGCAAGATACAGACGCAGAACCCGATTATTGCTGCAAGATACCGACGCAGAACACGATTATTGCGCAAGACGAATACCGACGCAGAACCCGATTATCGCTGCAAGATACCGACGCAGAACCCGATTATTGCTGCAAGATACAGACGCAGAACCCGATTATCGCTGCAAGATACAGACGCAGAACCCGATTATTGCTGCAAGATACCGACGCAGAACACGATTATTGCTGCAAGATACCGACGCAGAACACGATTATTGCTGCAAGATACCGACGCGGAACACGATTATTGCTGCAAGATACCGACGCAGAACACGATTATTGCTGCAAGATACCGACGCAGAACACGATTATTGCTGCAAGATACCGACGCAGAACACGATTATTGCTGCAAGATACAGACGCAGAACCCAATTATTGCTGCAAGATACCGACGCAGAACACGATTATTGCTGCAAGATACAGACGCAGAACCCAATTATTGCTGCAAGATACCGACGCGGAACCCGATTATTGCTGCAAAATATCGACGCAGAACCCGATTATTGCTGCAAGATACCGACGCAGAACACGATTATTGCTGCAAGATACCGACGCAGAACACGATTATTGCTGCAAGATACAGACGCAGAACCCAATTATTGCTGCAAGATACCGACGCAGAACACGATTATTGCTGCAAGATACAGACGCAGAACCCGATTATTGCTGCAAGATACCGACGCAGAACCCGATTATTGCTGCAAGATACAGACGCAGAACCCGATTATCGCTGCAAGATACAGACGCAGAACCCGATTATTGCTGCAAGATACCGACGCAGAACACGATTATTGCTGCAAGATACAGACGCAGAACCCAATTATTGCTGCAAGATACCGACGCGGAACCCGATTATTGCTGCAAAATATCGACGCAGAACCCGATTATTGCTGCAAGATACCGACGCAGAACCCGATTATTGCTGCAAGATACAGACGCAGAACACGATTATTGCTGCAAGATACAGACGCAGAACCCGATTATTGCTGCAAGATACAGACGCAGAACCTGATTATTGCTGCAAGATACCGACGCAGAACACGATCATTGCTGCAAGATACAGACGCAGAACCCGATCATTGCTGCAAGATACCGACGCAGAACCCGATTATTGCTGCAAGATACAGGTGCAGAACCCGATCATTGCTGCAAGATACCGACACTGAAACCGATTATTGCTGCAAGATACAGACGCAGAACACGATTATCACTGCAAGATACCAACGCAGAACCCGATTATCACTGCAAGATACCGACGCAGAACCCGATTATCACTGCAAGATACCGACGCAGAACCCGATTATCACTGCAAGATACCGACGCAGAACCTGATTATCACTGCAAGATACCGACGCAGAACCTGATTATCGCTGCAAGATACTGACGCAGAACCTGATTATCGCTGCAAGATACCGACGCAGAACCTGATTATCGCTGCAAGATACTGACGCAGAACCCGATTATTGCTGCAAGATACAGACGCAGAACCTGATTATTGCTGCAAGATACAGACGCAGAACCCGATTATTGCTGCAAGATACAGACGCAGAACCCGATTATTGCTGCAAGATACAGACGCAGAACCTGATTATTGCTGCAAGATACCGACGCAGAACACGATTATTGCTGCAAGATACCGACGCAGAACCCGATCATTGCTGCAAGATACCGACGCAGAACACGATTATTGCTGCAAGATACAGACGCAGAACCCGATCATTGCTGCAAGATACCGACACTGAAACCGATTATTGCTGCAAGATACCGACGCAGAACCCGATTATCACTGCAAGATACCGACGCATAACCTGATTATATTGCTGCAAGATACCGACGCAGAACCTGATTATCGCTGCAAGATACTGACGCAGAACCTGATTATCGCTGCAAGATACAGACGCAGAACCCGATTATTGCTGCAAGATACAGACGCAGAACCCGATCATTGCTGCAAGATACAGACGCAGAACCCGATCATTGCTGCAAGATACCGACGCAGAACCTGATTATCGCTGCAAGATACTGACGCAGAACCTGATTATCGCTGCAAGATACTGACGCAGAACCCGATCATTGCTGCAAGATACCGACGCAGAACCTGATTATCGCTGCAAGATACTGACGCAGAACCTGATTATCGCTGCAAGATACCGACGCAGAACCCGATTATCGCTGCAAGATACCGACGCAGAACCCGATCATTGCTGCAAGATACCGACGCAGAACCCGATCATTGCTGCAAGATACCGACGCAGAACACGATTATTGCTGCAAGATACAGACGCAGAACCCGATCATTGCTGCAAGATATCGACGCAGAACATGATTATTGCTACAAGATACCGACGCAGAACCTGATTATCGCTGCAAGATACAGACGCAGAACCTGATTATCGCTGCAAGATATGACGCAGAACACGATTATCGCTGCAAGATACAGACGCAGAACACGATTATTGCTGCAAGATACCGACGCAGAACACGATTATTGCTGCAAGATACCGACGCAGAACCCAATTATCGCTGCAAGATACCGACGCAGAACACGATTATCGCTGCAAGATACCGACGCAGAACCTGATTATCGCTGCAAGATACCGACGCAGAACCTGATCATTGCTGCAAGATACCGACGCAGAACCTGATTATCGCTGCAAGATACCGACGCAGAACCTGATTATCGCTGCAAGATACCGACGCAGAACCTGATTATCGCTGCAAGATACCGACGCAGAGAACACGATTATCGCTGCAAGATACCGACGCAGAACCTGATTATCGCTGCAAGATACCGACGCAGAACACGATTATCGCTGCAAGATACCGACGCAGAACCCAATTATCACTGCAAGATACCGACGCAGAACCCGATCATTGCTGCAAGATACCGACGCAGAACCCGATTATCGCTGCAAGATACCGACGCAGAACCTGATTATCGCTGCAAGATACAGACCAGAACCTCCTGGCGTGGCATTGCATGGCGTGGCCTGACATGGCGTGGCTTGGTGTTGCGTTGGTCACGGCTGTCCGGTGAGTTTTTTCATAGGAAGTGAAAACGTTTCTTGGTGACGTCACACGTCTGCACTGTGGACACGCACACGTCTCACCATCACACGTGTACCCCATCTTTTCTGATGGTCCCCCAAGGCACTAAACCAACCCCCCCGCATTGCAGTACTGTGCGATGTGATGGGAAAGCCGTGGGGGGGTTGTGGTGGGACTTGGGGGGCTATAACCCACCACACAGGGGTGAAGGGACCCTCAGGGGCCACTTTTGTCCTTGTGCTGCGTCATGTTGCAGGTTGATGTGCGTTGGGTTCCCAATACAATGAATAGACAACCAATGGCCTGCGATGGGCTGGAAATCAGATGGGACCCTCGCAAGGCAGGAGCATGTATTGCTGTATGTTGGGGCCCCGATGTGCATTGGGGGGCCGAAGCTGTGAAGCTGCGCTCTAGAACCGCTGACAGTAGCTGCGCCCACAGAGGGGAGTGAGCCTTCCAAGGAGCAGTGCTGATATTCATTTTGTTCCTCCTGGTCATGGTCATCCTCAGGCTTCCTACCAATTCCAGGACCAGATCCTCAGGAACCAAAGGTGAAAATGCCAAACATGCCCCTCCCCCAGCTCTGTCCCAACACAAAGAGGCGGAGCCAGCCTCCCCTGATGATGGATGGAGGAAGGGCTGCAGCCCCGGCAATGCTTTTATCCATGTCCATGTCTTCCTGCCCCGGTGACAACTGCTGCTCGTTGTTGTTCGGGTGTCACCGAGACAGGAAGTGAGGATTATTATTCCCCCCTGGGGTCACAGACATCCTCACAATATCCAAGGGGCCCCGGAGCTGCAAAAATATATTTCTATTCCCCCAAAAGAGGAACTTCCGCTTTTCTGCCCCCCCCCCTTTCTCTCCCACTTTTGGGAGGTGCTGGTTTTGACGGGTACTCACCCCCACTTCTACCCGGATCTCCTAGGCCAATCAAGTGGAAGTTCACCCCTCCCCCTTTGGGCGCAGCCTTCTGGAACACGTGACCAGGACTGCTGTTAGAAACCACAGGGCCCCATACAGCAAACCCGACAGGACCGCCCTCCCCCCCAAAAAAAACAGTTGACTATGCTTTAGTTATGAATGAACACAGTAAGTGATTGGTACTGATCACTCATTGTGTTCATTCAGGAAAGGAAGAAACTGGTAAATGTGACCTATTTACAGGACCCCTCCCCCACTCTCCATCCTAACGGATCCTTTTCTGTGCTTACAGCTGGAAAGGAGAGGAGGGAATCTGGCAGCACTGTGGGGGTGGGGGCACACAGGGGGGCCTGGACAGCAAGGGGGAATGTATGGTGCACAGGTAGGGGGATGGGTGAGGTGGGGGGTATTACTGGAACCAATCCCCTGTTTGGCTCTCCCTGCAGCCGCTGAAAGCCAGAGAAGAAGCCAGCGGAGGAAGAGGAGAAGAAGCTGACTGTGACGGGAGTGACTTTGGGGGGGGGGGGCCCATGGAACACAGCTCACTTTGGAGAGGTGGGGAGACCCCTGTCTCAGCTCCCCATATCCCTCTTATGTGTAAGTCACCCTGTGCCTGTTAGGGGTGATCTGTCCTAATATTGGGGGGGGGGGGTTGTGGATTGTTTGGTGTCATGTGGTGCATCACATTGTTCTATTGTGTGACTTGCTTGGAAGCAAACTATTATGGGATGTATGTGTTTGTGTATTGGTTGGTGGGGGGGGGTGTCTCCAGCAGCCCTCCCTCCTGATGGGACTCTCTGTTGGTGTGTCTCTTGTTACTAAA